AATTGGCGACCCTGCAAAACAACATCAAACAGAGACGAAAGATGATAGAGGATAATACTGATATAGAGAATGTGTGTATACAGGCGACATCACTGTAACACCCACTCCACACCCACACCCACACCCACACCCACACCCACACCCACACCCACGCCCACACCCCACACCCACACCCACACCCACACTCACACTCACACACACACCACACCCAATTCAAATATGATCCATTTGATCATCATATTTTACTCCTAGGATTTTGAACGTAGTACCAATCATGAGCAAGACTTCTTCTTCATCGTCATAATAACTTAGTTGATCAATGATAGCAAATGGTCTGGACAGTGAAATTGAATAGATATCTGAGTCTATATCGAATAAAACTAAAGTTCTATTTGGATCAGCAACTTCATTAGAACGAGCAAATCCAAGTGCAATATGTTTGTTTCTACTTGTAGAAAAGAATGTAGATATACTTATATATTGATTTACACATTGTTGAAATTTTTCAAGTTCGTCAATAGACATTGCTTGTCCTCGATATGAATGCATAACCTTGTCTAATGTTTGAGCAAAGTCTCGTTCTTCTAATTTGATACAATAGTTTAATTGTTCATGATTTAATTGTGCGTTAATATCACGTATAAGAAATCGATATGCAATCACTATATCAATATCTTCATTACGCAAAGCTTTATTTAAAAATTGACGAGCAAATGGCTCCTTTGTATACCAATGTATTGCATCTGATGGTTTATAAGTTTTTTAAAATCATTAAGTTTAGCAAGATGATAATCGCTTCCAAGATATTGTTGAGAGCATAAATCAATACATTCATCGATGGATGTCGCAACATCTTCGTTTCTCAATTGTAGTAGAGCATCAATGAATAATTTCGACCATAGAAAATTACTATCGATTTTTCTATGACTATTTTCTCTGGCGTTTGTATTATCATATTCGATTGGATTTAGAACATAAAATATCGGTGCAGTTATACGTTCGTATTTGTCGCGTTCTATTTGATCATGAATAATTCTAAAAATTAATTCGGAAAGTTCCATAGACATGCATTAAATTTGTAGAAAATAAACCCAAGCAGAAATGATTATGATCTCTAGTCACTTAAATCAAGAAAATTTCTGATAATAATTTGTTGTAAAATATGGTTACAAAAAATTTCTAGCTGTGTCACACTCACTTTTTTGTAATTTGTTGTCCACATTTGACCATTCTCGTCATTAGAATCATGGTAAATGTAAACTGTAATAACTGTTTCTAAATCGTGTATTTTAGACAATAGTTCGTTTGCAATTGGATATGAAATAACAAGAATAATTTTTTCATTTCTCACTTGTCAAATAAACTTCTCACATTCTTCTGCGTCATTGATAGTGACTATAAAATGAATCGATTGCTGTAATTGCATTTGTATTTCATGGTATTTTTCGTCCGATATAATATTTCTATCATAATACCAAATGAGTGTAAACATAGCCAGATTTTTATGCGGATTTTTGAAAATATTATTCGAATCTAGCGCTCGTTCTTCACTGGAGTACTTCATAAACGATATTGTATTTTTTATCGATGATGTATGCCTTTTATCTTCTTGCTGATTGAACAGTTGATCGGTACTCATGATATAGAATAGACTAAACGTTTATGAAACGCCTGTATATTAACTAATACTAATTTTATTCAATTGTTGTTGAATATTAAACTTGATATTTGTTTACGGCCGCTAAGTTCTTTGGAAGCAAGAATACTGTGATAAAACAAAACATGACACGAACAGTAGATTTCAGAAAAATCAATCATGAATAAATATCAGTCTCATTTTAATCATAATTCATTGTTCTAAATTAAAATCTTGCATAAGATTAGCTAGTATGAAGCTCAAGTAATCGAATCTTTTTCATATATACGACACTGGTAAATAACGAAAACTGTGCAATCATATGAAGAATTGAATGGAATCAAATCTTTTTTTTTATTATTTGTTTGAAGCAGTAAGCATATCACTATGGAGAAAAATCCACGATGATATTTTGAACACTGGCTATTACATTTAAGTGCAGTAAGATATGTCAGTTTTGGAGTGTTACAAAAATTTAACTCTTAATCAATCTTTTATTTTTCTCTTGAAATAAGTACACTTAGATGCTTGCTACACTTCATATTCAACTATGTCTAGTTCTCCGTTGATGTAGGTTAGAACTATGATTATACTGTTGTATTTTACTTACTTCATACTCTAAACAATCTATGCCGAACTAGATGTATTAATAGTACTGTGAATTATACTCCTTCTGTATTAAAATAGCTTATTTTGCGTAGAGAACAGAATCGAAATGTCAGCCTGAGTGTATTTTTCTCAATGCTTGAGAAAAAAATGTAATAATGACAGTCGACTGTTTTTTTTTCATCCAACTTCTATGCATACTTTCATCTATTCAAAACAGAACATCAGACCATAATTTCAGGAGAAAAACAGGCAGCCTATTTCGCTTTTATTTACTTTCAAAGTACACGTGACTATAATTTAAAATGAAGGCTTGCATAGTACAAAACGATAAATCAGAAGAAGTAAAAATAAAGAACAGGTTCGTTTTTGTTTTCTTGAATTATTAAGATTACGTAGTTACTATTTATTCGATGTTAACTTTTCATTGCATCAATAGAGAAACTAAAGTATTTTTGCTAAATAGTCTTTTCAATATGATTCAAATTTTTCACCGAATCTCTTATTCATTTATAATTATAGACCTGATTGTAATAACGGTTGACTGAATTTTCAGAGGAGATATGTGTGACCAATTTTGAGAAAAAGCACTTGTTTTGTACTGATTAGATTATGAAATTTACTAATAAAAACTACTCATTTCAATGCAAATAATATTTTGAAAACATTACCAGCATTGTTGATTTGTCTGAGAAAATGATATATGTTAATTTTGTCACGTTATTATTCGTATTAGTCGCGTGTATGACATAAGAAAATAAAAATCTTGGAAATCAATCAGTCTTGATTAG